AAAAATAAAAAATAAATCAACAAAAGAAAGCCAGTTCATACTTCTAGCTCCTGTTCTATGCTTATACAAAGCAACCCATCAGCATCTCCCAGGCAGATCCTGCAGCATCTCTTGATCCTTCAGCATCTCAGGATGGATGTTAGGAGCTGCTGTCACCAGCTCTGGACTCCACACTCAGAGCTGTTCTGCTGTTGCAAAACCCAGCACTGGGTCATTCAAGGTGAAGCACAAGCCCTGCACGAAGCACCGTGTTTATATGCTGCAATTAGCASTACAGCTTTCTATGCCCCTAATTGCTGTCAGTCTACCCACAGGATCACATCATCCAGTGGCTACCTAGGAAGCTGCCACTCGTGCTTTAAACCTTCAAAAGCAGCTACAAGCTAAGCCTTATTTACTCACATTCTGTGTTCAGGGCCATAGAGCCCTGTTAAGATGATGCACTGATCTAATAAGAGCTTCCTTGGTTCAAAACGGCATGAACAAGGCTGAGCTAGATCAGAAATTACTTGCTCACACCAACTACAGAGATTATGATGCGCTGAATCTCAGCAAGACCATTTCTTGTCCCTTTTATATGCTTTTCATTAAAAAGATGCATTAAAAATTTAAATCATGTGAAAGGGAAGCGTGCCAGCAAAGCTGACGCTGCACAACGGAAAAAAAAAAAAAAGGAATTTTGCAGCTGCTCAAAATTAATTCTACAGGGAAAAAAGTGGGCAGGTTGGGTGCCCTCAAACCCCTCCACTCCTAGAAGGTCAGAGGAGAGTGGCAGATAATTATGGATCCAGCAAGTACTCTCCTCAAAAACTTAGAACTCGAGCTTACAATTAAAATTCTCATTCTTATGCAAATTTCCTACGTGCAGTAGAAAGCCTGACCTGCATAAATTTGGGAGAATAGAAGAGGAATCAATAAAAGTCTGGTTGTCGAGCAGCCGGATAATTCAGGGAACATTCATACTCATCAGGGGACAATTTCCAGAGGGCTGCTCTTTTGCAAGGCTGGGTTGCTGCCCAAATTTAGCCTTTCAGTCTAGAAACCCCAGTCTTTTGGGCCATAGTTGTGCTGTAGCCTACTCTAAGAAAAGTGGCTCTTTAAACATGTACACTGTTTTCTAATAAGGAATACTATACACACATATATCTCTCTATATCTCTCTCTACATATAGACAAACATATACACACAYATTATTATTATTTCCCTTCCCAGGATTTTGCAAGATTTAAAGACCTACCAAGTATGGCACACTCATTTCTATAGAAAAAATACTCCAAAAAATACATGTTATACTACAAGCGTCTCTACTCTAGGTCCACAGTGATCGGATACAATACCTTGGGATGCTGGCAAGTCTTCCACAACCCAGAAGTGGACTCATGCAGACCCCATATCTCTAAACCCCACAGCTGGGACCACTGTCCATCCTTGGCTCAGAGCTTCATTAAGCTGCAGGGATTGGGTCTTACTGTGCCAGATGTCTTGAATTCAAGTGATGCCCTGAAAAGGTCTCCGGACCAATCTGGAGAGGATGAGGGATGCTACTRCTGGTTTACAATCTGCAGAAGTTATCTGCTTGCTAAAAGAGCAGTGCAAGGACTTTTATTTTGCAATTAAAAAGAAATAAACCCAAACACACATACAAAAAAAAATTCTCACTTCTCTTTTTTTACATATCCTATAGTTCATGTCCATTCTTTGCAGAATGACAAAGATCTACAGTGCCTGAACATCTATAAATAGACAGTCCAAAATAGAACAAACACATTTCATTTGCACTTTCCTCCCCACCAAAAAAAAAAAAGAAAATGATGCTTCAATAACTCATTCCAACACTAAAGCCTGCAATGCACTTTATTGACAACACCATAGCAATAGATTCTTCTCATCTCATTTATATAGTTTATAGCTGATTTTAGTCTTTGCTTCTTGTGCTCCTTTAAGAACTAAGTTTTCTCCACTTCAGCAGTTAAGAACTGAAGATGAGGCCTTRCATAGACCTCAAAAATCAGAATCCACATGACTCAAATCAGACATTTTTAAGCCTAGCCCAGGCATCTTTATACCCAGCCCAAATTCTTTCAGATTAAGAATAACAACAACACACACAATCATAGAATGGGAAAGCTGTGTCTGACAGTAAAAAGAAATCAGTGCAAGCAGAGGTGGATTTTGCTCAAAAACTAAGGCAGGGGCAATTTTTATATGGATTTTTAGCTCTCAAAACATCTTGCTCATAAGAAAGAACGTTTYTTGAGTATTTTAATCTAGCATACATATGTACAAAGTATTACCCCCCACTGTTTTTCCTGAGAAAGTCCCAAAAGCCCAACTAACACCCTCCACTATGAAGGCACCTGGGTGTTTCCCAAAGAGAACTTCTGCTGTCTCACAAGCCATAGCTGAGAATAAACCAGCTGCACCAAGAGAGGAGAATAAGAAACAACCCAAACATTTCTCCTCTGCAAAAGGAAACTTGCTTAATACTGGAAAAAAATGTAAACAGCCTTTTTTTTTTTTTTTTTTTTTTTTTTTTTTTTTTTTTTTTTTTTTTTTTTTTTTTTTTTTTTTTTGAGTTACATGGGAGTTCCTAGCCCAATGGCACCATCAACCACCAGCACGATTCACAGCCAGGAGCAGTTGGCACCAGACGTACCCGTGCCTTAGCAGCATGTTTTCCAGAGCAGAGGCACTCCATGGCCTGGCACATTCCTGGTTGGAGTTTTTAAAAAAGCAGAGAAAAGCTAGTTGTCACTGAAGCAAACCAAGCTCTCAGAAAAACCCAAGAGATCTCCAGGGAGCATTGTGAAAACAAAGTTTGAGTTTTGTTCTGTGGTTTCTTTTAAGTAGCAAGTACACTAAAAATAAAAATAATAATAAGTAGCATGGGAGCAGAGAAGAATAATAATATGCAACCAGCATCACCCAGAAATTTGGGATAAGATGGATGTGTTTCTTCATTACCCTTCTTGCAAGCACGATTCAGACCTCACAAGGCGCCTTTCAGCCCCATCAGCCAACAAGGAAGGGGCAAATCCAGGCCTACCTGTTCATATTTCCTCCTCCTCAGCTATTAAAACCTAAATTTGGTAAGAGAATGGACAAATTGCCCCTAGAATCCCCTGTGCTCAAGTCCAGCTAGTCCTCACTTGATACCATCCTTCCCTTCACACGATTCCCCTCTGTGCACACAGAGGTTGGCAACCATGCAGAATGAGTCCCATGTAGGTTATTCTTAATCTGTCCTCAGTGCAAAAAACTTTTAGGAATAACAGCTAAGCAGTACTTCTCTACTGGCTTTAGATACAGAAGTCCATTCAACTTCCCAGGTGGACTAGAGGCTAGCCTRGAAAAACATATCTCAAGAGAGTCACATTCCATATCTGCTGGCTTCAAGCTGCCTTTTCGTAGCTTTGTTTGCCTCTACACAAAAGCCAACATCCGAAGAACCACAGTCACACCAGAAAAACAGGAATGAGGAGAAAGCAGAAGTTTCCTCAACACTAAAGGTAAAACACACAGACTGGTCAGCCCCAAGCCATTCACCTGCTTTGGACATCAAGACAAGTGACATATTCACACCCCTAATAGCAACCATGAGTGTGATAACTTCTGTTATATGAATCACATTAGCATGCATTCAACTTAAGGCAAGGAAAACCTCTTGATAGACTTCCACCATTTACCAATTCCTCCTAAAACCAAGCAAAACAGCATCCACCATTTCTAACCAAGATGTCAACCACAGTCAAGTCTTAAGGTTGGGTTTCTACAATCAAYCACAATCCAGAGACACTGGGAAGAGGAGACATGGGTACAAGGCACCCATCTTCTACCAACCTTGGTGGTGTCATCATGTGACCGCTGGTACCGTTTCCAGCGGCAGCCGTAGATTCCCGTCAGGCACGACAAGCATAGCTGTGGTTCGTAGTACTGCAGCGGTTGGTGTTTAACCATGCTCCTTCCAGCCCCCTCAGGAGCGATGTATCAGAAATCCATCAGGTCCTGGGAATGCCCTTCAGCAGGAGAAGAAAAGAAAGAAGAAAAAGCAATATTTCAATATATTAACATGCAACTTCATAGCTAATTATGTTCTCTGGCTATTAAGAGAGGAGAATTGGTAATCAGGACTAATCCCAGCCCTGTCAACATCTCAGGCTTGTTACTCAACAAGACCTTAAGAAGTTTAATTAGTTGCCGTGCTGTATTTCCTTATGCTATTTCTCCCGCTCCACGGAAGGGGAATATATTCACAGCTATCAATACAAAATGCTGCTCAAGGACAAGAACAGTAGACAGATTATTTGCAGTCTGGAGGATTAGATTTATAGCAACGATTAAAATGAAAAGAGCCATTCCCTCAGCTAGCACAACCTTAAAATTGGCTCCGAGACCTCAGTAAACTTGCACCCCTATCAAGATAAAGTAGCTTGTTCTGTGCATCCTATGGAGGCTATAAACAATCCTAGCTGAGGATACAGTAACTCGACACGTGCTGCCAGAGACGGACATTCCCCTTTCTTTATGAACACCCAATGAGCCACAGAAAGAGGCAGAGCCATCTGCAGCCTTCACCCAGAAGAGATCCCCTMTCCACCAAACTGCAGGAGCTCCTTGGGGACCACAATGAAGCAGCTGCCCTATTTGACATGCATGGGAACATYGCTGTTTCAAGGGAAAGTACTTCCCTCCATCGTTTATGTGCACTAAGTGTCACAAGGCTGTATTTTATATTTAGAGCACATGTTTTCAACTGGGTTGAGATTCATAACAAGAAAGCCCAGGYCATCCTTCGCTCTTACTCATTTAGAGAGTCAGCATTCAGAAACTGGGACCTGAAAGCAAACATTTGCTAGTCTAGTGGCATCATGCTCATGTTTCTCAGCTGCACCTAACTCCCACGAGGGGTTTTCCACYGCTTTTGCGGTGCAAGTGCCTAACCACAGCCCTATACGTAGCTCTTGCATTGATAATCCATGCACCATAAACAATGCTCAATAGGAGTTGGGTTTGCAAAGTGCTTGCCCACCTCTGAAGAGCAGTTGCACACACTGCCTGCACTTGCTTGCAGAAAGACAGACCACTTCCTCTGCAGGGCAACTGCTTAATGTTCTTGTAGCCCAGATACCAACAAAGGGCATCAGATAATGAAGCTGGTGAAGAGGTTGGAGCACAGACCTTACAAGGAGTGGCTGAGGTTGTCTGGAGAAGAGTAAACCCAGGGGAGATCTTATAGCTCTGAAAACTACCTGAAAGGAGGTTGTAGTGAGGTGGGGTCAATCTCTTCTCCAGAATAACTAAAGATAAAACAAAATGAAATGGCCTCAAGTTGCACCAGAGGGAGTTCAGGGTAGACATTAGGAAGAACTTCTACACAGAAAGARCAGTCAAGCATTGGAATAGGCTGCCCRGGGAAGTGGTGGAGTCACCATCCCTGGCAGTGTTCAASAAATGTGTAGAWGAGGCACTTAGAGACATGGCTTAACAGGTATGGTGTTGAACGATTTACGGTTGGACTCAATGATCTTAAAGGTCTTTTCCAAGCATAATGAKTCTATGCCCAGTGTTCTGGGCTTGCAGAATATGACAGCTATAAGCAGCAAAAATCCCAAAGTGTGGCAAACCTCAGTGGGGGGATTGGACTAGGTGATGACCAGAGATCCCTCCCAACCTCAGTAGTTCTGGGATTCTTTGATTAAAGACATGTCCTAGCCATCTCATGAGGACCACCACCCATCGCTATGTCCCATGGAAAGAAGCCACTAAGAACAGGGTTCATCCAACTTCTTCTTACAGCTGACAACGTAAGAGGATCTTGCAAGCATTGAGGTATGGACCAGAAGACACTTTAAGCTATCTGAAGCGATCTGTCTTTCTGCAAGCAAGTRCAGACAGTGCATGCAACTGCTCATGCTCTTCAGAGGTAGGCAAGCACTCTGCAAGCTCAACTCCCATTGAGCATTGTTTATGGGCACAGCTAGCTCAACCCCTCCAGCTCCCGCCCTTCTCCATGTCCATTTCCTCTCCATATTTTGCTCTGACAGCCCAGCAGAGGCCTGTTTTGGCTTTTGCTAATTAGGGCTCCGCATCCTGGAGGCAGACCGATCTTGCTAGCTGGCCATTGCGGTTTCAAAGCTCAGCAGACCATACTGCACTGTCTCCAGAGCTCACAGCTCCTCTGCCCCTGTGTGTCACATCCATACACACTTTGTCCTTTCAGTAGRTCTCCCCAGAAAGCTCTCGGCACCGCTCAAGGCACTGACCCAGGGAGATGACACAAGTGCACCCAGGACTCGCTCTCATTCCTCCCCTTGGGGAGGACACGCAGAACAGTGTCAAGTGCATCCTGCCCGAAACGAGAAGCATTYGCTGATCATCTGGCACCTCCACGCTCTCCCAGCTCATCTTCCCCCAAGTGCTGCACCACCTCTGTGGCCTCRTGCTTGAGGTCACCTGCCCGCGTGTCATCCTCTCTCACGCTATTTATAAAACTCTGCATTAGTCACTGCATAAGTCTGCTCTTTCTCTCCTCCAGCCTTTGTCTGCTTCGTTTTGTTGCCATCRACATGAGTTTCCTGGGCTGCCTTCTCCACGTGTCAGCAGCACGCTGCACGCAGCAACAACTGCCAGCTAAAATAGGACAGAAACGCTGAGCCTATAGAGTTGATGTTGCTTCAGAGACATGGACAAAGCCACAATCTCTGCCCTTAAGATTAAGTCACACACTGTTATCCAACCCCACATTACTAGTCTGAAAACCTAGTAGACTATAACAAGCAGGAAAAAAAAAATCCCTCATTAATTCATCTCTAGAGGACACCACTTCTTCCAAATCCAACCTCATCTTGCTTCATTCATGCAAAGCAAAAGGGCAAATGGACAACCTCAGTCTCTAAAAGCTTTTTAAAAGGTATTTGATTTGCTAGCTTAAAGGATTTGCATTGCAAACCCAGCACAAGTGCAACACTCGAGCATTTCATCACTCTGTTCTTTTGGGAAGCCACTAGCTGTTCTCCATCCTTGCCCTCTAGCCCAAAACACCTGGAGAAGTGGTGCCATACATCAACTACATATGTACACCAGACTGTCAGAACGGACAAATCCCAACTTTCCAAATAGAAATCCAGCTTATCCAAAGTGGCAGGAGGAAGGAAGCACAGGCTGCCCTTCAGAAATAATAAAACTCATGTGTTAGGCAAGTCTCTCTTTCCCTTAAGGAAGTTGAGACCAGAGCACTTAATGCCTGACTGAAGCTTCATGGTGCAAGGTTTGACTCTACCTAAAGACGGGAGCTTTAGTCAGCATCCCTATAGCATTACTAAGTGAAGTTAGGAGCTTGCAGATATAAGAGCTGTACCCATAGACACATGTCTTTATGCCAAACAAGACAGCAGTCTAAATGGGTAATAAAGGATAAAAAGCAAGGAAAGATAACAAACAGTGACACTGTTGCCCCAGATGTTTGATAGGACCTGTCCACAGATGATTACAGGCTCACACAGATGTTCTGCTCATACTGTTCCAGAGAAAACCCTCTCGATCAAGCCTGAGACATGCTGGCTATTCACCATGTTGTGTTTGTCTCTCTCCAAACAAAGGAATAATTCAATGGAAATTCAACAAGAACTGAAAGTTGGACCTCAATTTGTCATAAAGGATAAGGTGTGGGGAAAGAGTTTGAGCTTGCATAAAGCTTCAAATGATCACTTATGCAGTACCATCAAAAGCATCTAAAGACTCACAAATGGAAAACCTCACCTCTAGGACACTCATTTCAACACTGAGACTCAGAGTGTCCCATGTAGAAAGGCAAGCAATCTCCAGATGCATTCTCCAAGATCCCTGTGTTTTACTAGCACACCCATTTGTCATCTGCTAATGGAAATCTACTGCACAACACATCTTCAGGAATCACTGGCAGGGCACATACCACCTACTAAATTTGGGTAGAGTAAGTTTTGCCTTGATCACKATATGCAACTGCAGTTTCAGGTGCCTATCATCACTTCTCATCTCCTGATTACACCTGATAGGACTGWGCAGTGGCACCTCCACCGCTTAACACAACTTATATTGGGAAGCCGATAGAGCTATTGGGACAAGTGTCACAAGGCAGCAGGTACATGAAGAGCTCCCATATCTGAGCACTCACTTCGGAAGCCAAGATCTGTGCTTAAACCTGTTTCAGATACAAACACTCCTCATAACAGTGCAAAAAGCCACCAGGCACATGCTTTCACCATGCCTTTTATCATCATAAGCACCACATCGACAGCTTATGGATTTGCTGAAACCATTTCAAGTGACATTGCTTTAACACGGTACACATGCCCTTCAAAGTGGGGACAGGGACCAGCAGCCAAGAACATCTTTTACTAGGAACCCCAGGACTCAAGGTAGGTGTAAAAGCTTCAAGTTCATCAGCGAGTTTTTGAGAGCATCCACCAACCTCCAACAGCAGCATCTCATCCAGTGYCTCCTAAACTCCCAGAGGAGATGGGGAGGGACACAAGTGTTTTCAGTGCAGGAAGGCAACCAAAAACCAAATCCATCAAACACCACCATCACCAGAAGACACTGTTACAGCATTTTAGAATCAGTCAGAATCCACTAAATACAGCCAGAAGGGAACAAATAGGTTTTCTCAGAAAAGATCAACAAGAAAAAACACAACTGAGAAGATCATATAAGCCACCATGCAAATCTCTTGCCCCAGTCTTCTCAATGAGCCCCAGTACATGGGTATGTTATGGAGCCCACTGACTTCACGAGCACTACCACCCTCAGTCTTAGAGCAGATCCAAGCTACAAAAGYTTTTTAAACCATTTCAGGTAGCTCTAAGACAAGTCAACAGACAGAAATCCAACCTGATCCAAAGAGGCATTCCAGAAATACAGTAAAGCAAAACCTTTTCTTTGAACCGAATGAAGCAARAACTACAAGTCTGAAAATCATTCCCTCTTCTTCGAGGGCTTCATTAGGCAAAGCACAAACTGCAGAGTCCCCCTCCCTCTCCTTCTCCCCACCACCCAAAAGGTACCTGAGCAATAACGGGGTGTGGGAAGAGACTGAAGTACCACAAGCAAGATGCTGCTCAAGAGAAAACAGACTGATAAAAATCACCACACTGATGCCATCTGTCCAGAGATCCTTGCTTGGCTGAGATCACAGACTGAATACTTGCTTCTCATGCTACCAGGAAGGGATTTAATGGAGAGAAGCAGAAAGTCCGTACGCTACAATCACTGTTCCCATGACATCTACAGCTTTGAGGTGGAGAAAGCAGGCTATGAATGATTCAAACCTCTGCTGGTTAGCATTACATACAGAAATGAAAACAGGAAGCAAGACAACATACATTAATTATTCAAATTCAGCAACATGCACCAGAAAGAGGAAAAATATATATATATAAATTACCAAACAGACACAGCCCGTCAACCTTGACTTTAAAGAAGCATCATCTGCCAATAGCTACAAACTCCTTTGAGTCAAATAGTTTGCCAGCCAGCTTGCCCAAAAAGGGGGAGTTCATCTGCAAATACAGCAGGAGCATTTTCTGAAGGCTCCAAGATGCCTAATTAGCACACACTGCATTCCCGAGGTACGAGGCTCTAGGTATCCCTTACAGACTGCGACACATTATTCCTTTCCAAACAGCTTTGGAGAGGAAAAAAAAAAAAAAAGAAAAATAAAAAAAAAAAAAATCAAGTTGCAGATTTAAAAGGGAAGCTCTCTGGGGAGATCTGGCCTAAAAATTTGGATTTTTGTCCGAGTTAACTCCTCCATCTCTGTAGTCTCAGGGCAACGCTCCAGATCCTGAATGGAAAGAGGATAGAACAAGCAGGACTTGTCATTTACAAGTCTGCTAAATCTCAACACTATCATTTTTGGCAGAGGAAGAGCAACAACACAAGCTCTGAAACACAAAAGGTAAACAACACAAACAGAGCCACAGAATAACAGGATCTAACCCTTCCACCCAGCATGGTACAGTCCAAGTCCTTCCCTCTAAACTCCCTTCTAATAGCAGAGTTTCATGCAGGTCACACTGATCCCGTTCAGCATCTTGGAAGGGATCTTTTAATAGCCCCAGGGCARGTGGCTCACCACACACCCACAACCTGCCTTGGTCGCCCTGGGCTGGTTYAGAACAAGTGCAGCACGTGACTTCTTGCTTGAGCCTGTCAGGGAATCAAAGAAAGAGCCAAAAACCTAGCTGAGACCTTTCTGTTGGTTTGTTTTGAATACACGCTTAGTTGTGGGCCAGCTGAGGTCTACAAGGACATTTGGAACGCACAAACACCCATTGCCCAGGGGAAAGGAAGAACAGCCATGGCCTTCTACAGTGTCTCCATCCATCAAGACAGGGTTGGAAGGACCCAGAATTGAATAAGCTTAGTCCCTATGGGTCCCACCTAGGACTAGAGGCTTCAGAGAACCAGATTCATTGGAGACATGAGGATAGCCCAAGAAATACGGTCACCACCAGAGTCACGTGTTGGTGTTCTTCCCGTAACTGAAAGCTAAACAGGACATCTCAGTGATGGAAGACCCAAAAATCTGAGTAGACTAAGTCAATTGGGTTCAATCTCCCAAAAACTGGACCCAAGGACACATGTCCTACTTTCAGTGCAGATAAGTGCAGAACATACAGACTCCAGGGATGTTTGAGACTTTTTACTAATGCATTTTTAAAAGGCCTTGACAGATTCTACTGCTTTCTACATTAAAAGAAGGATTTTTTTTCTTCTCATGACTGATGACTCATGGGATCATTGTTTATCATGAATCTCTGTATAATTTTCAAAAACTCCATTTCTTATTACAAGYTACATCAAGTTAGTTACAGTTAAAACACTAAGCAGAGCAAATAAATTCCTACACTGATTACATAAAAATGTAACCGATACCAAATTACTCCATTGATATTCTTGTAAGTATTCATCCAATTGCTTCCCTAACTGCACTGGAAAATACTGGATTTTCTTTAAGTACCTGGGCACTAAAAATAGCCGTGTATCTTCTCAGGAGCAAAGCTTCCAGTTCTATATACCAAAATAAATAAATTTTATTTTTTGCCCAGCATGGACCAAAACGATTGAAAGCTTTAAAATAAATGCATCTACATTCTTGTGACTTACAGTGACTCTTCATGGTTTTCATACCAACTTTTTCTTTAACAGGTTGAACTCATCCAAAGAAAAGCAATGCAATTTCACTTTCCCCAGCTTAGGGGACAGAAGTGGAAGAGGGAAAATATCCCCCCATCTGTTTAATAATAGAACAACTCTTACAGAAGTATGTTTGCTACAGCCGTTCCCACAGGAGGAAATCTATAGGCACGCTGAGCAGCATTTTCCACGTTTCGTTGGCTGGGATCCAGAGCGTCTCTGCTTGCAAGACCAAGATTTAATTTCAAGGCGGGAAGGGAAAGACAACACCGCCAAGCCATGAACAGCTTCAACCCAGAGACACTATCTTAGTAGAGGGTGAAACACCAGTAACAACTGTAATGATCCTCCCCACGTTGCTGGGGATCTCCTAGTGACCCAGCAGGATGATGCTTCCCAACACTGCATCCACGCTCTAGAAATAAGGTTGGGTTAGAGGTCTCCCATGGAGGCCACACTCTTTTTTCTGTCCCCCTTTTTTTTTTTAACCTTTTTTTAAAACTTTTTTCTTTTTTTTTAAAACTTTCTTTTTCTTTTTTTCTTTCTTTTTTTTAAACTTCCTTTTTCTTTTTTTTCTTTCTTTTGAATATGTACAACACTTACACAAGAGAAAACAACAGCTGTGTTAAAAATACCAGTTGCCTTTTTTTTTTTCTTCCACTTGTCAGGTGAAAAAATGTATGCAATGAAAAGCAATGTGTTCCTTGATGTGCACCTCTGTGTGTATATATAAATAAAACATTTTGGATCAGAACTGAGTTTGAAAAATTTGTATTGGCATGACACCCTTGCCCTACAAACTACATGGTGCTGCCCCAGGAACAGCAAATATCAGGGAAAAAAAAATAAAGTCTGCAAAGCTTATCTTGATACATCATAAAAGCTGTAAAGTTAGAGCTCCAGCTCTAACAYCTCTGAAGGAGAGCAGCACCATCTTTCTGATGCCAAAAAAAAGCCCTACAACTACTTCCTAATGCAGGGAGACATCCAACAGATCCGCTTTGATTCACAAAGTGGCAAGAGACAACCCAAACAGTCAGGGATCTGGCTGACGTGCAGCCCCAATGGGTCTGACCTGTTGTTTGTTGTTCTTAAGGGTATTTTTATTATTATTATTTATTTAAAAAAAAAAATGCTTTGAAACCAGGGCAGCATGTAGTTTGGGGTTGTACACTTCCAGTTAATGAGAATTCAGACTTCAAAAGATAAATACTTCAAAGGGATTACAAAAGAAAAACTTAGACTTTAATCTCGTTAAATAAATAAGCGCAGTGSAGGCTAACACCCTCTGCAATCCAGCTGCTTAGCATTTTCCATACCAAGGGTATATTGGGTGCCCTGCATTTTAGAAAGAAGCTGAAGAAATAGAACAGGTCACCAGAAAATCTTTCCAGAGGAACCACCAAATTCATCCCCTGCTTTCTGCAAAAGCTTGAGCCTTTGCAATAAAACCTTCTCCCAAGTCCAGGCATTGGGACAGATCTATAAACACAACATAGGAAGAGAGACTTGCTCTCTCCCAAAGCTGAGAGGCAACAAAAACAATTATGCAGATCTTCTGATATTAGCAGAACTACGCTGTATTTTAATCTGCAATGTGACAGCAGAGGTGAGAGTTACATATGGGCTGACTCTTATCCTGACAGCACTTTGTACCTGTACATCCTCAGAAGACAGCTGAAAAAAAAATTATCTGTGATAAGAATGACAGCTGGTCCCTGGAGTTAAGACAAAAAACAATTTTTCTTCTTCGTGGCAAAAGACACTAGGATAAAGCAGAAATAATCTGGTTTATGATCAGGTCAGGTTTTTCTTGGAAAGATGCTCAGAAATTGAGACCTAGCAGAGTAGAGAAATTGAGACCTAGCAGAGTAGAGTTGGCAAACACCTGCATGGGGTCCCATTAGTGGAGGCCACCTGGTTTCTACTCTACTACTGTTATTTGAAATCAGTGCAGCCAGTTCAGGTGAGTTCTGGCTGCATCCTCAGAAATCAAAAGCTGAAAGAAAGTTGGAGATAGACAGAAAGCACTAAGGACGCTCCAGGCATTTACCTGGGATGCTGACTTGCTTGGGCACATTAATGAAAGAAACAAGTGAAGCAGAGCTGGATGACTAATGCAGAAAGAAGCATCTTCCCAACCTCTACCTCACAGCTAGATTCTGGAGGTCACAAAAAACACTCCGTATAAAGCTTTTCCTGGCATCAGGGTAGCTCCCATATAGCAAACAAGTGAAGTTCACCAATGAAGAGCCCAAAACACTTCTTCCCTTCTACCCTTTTTGGCTCGTCCCAAAGAAARCAAAGAGAAGTTCTAAGCAATTCAAGAGGTGCCAGACCCCCTTCTTCTGCCAGAGAAATAAAACTATTWGTCACTGCCAAGACAGACAGCAGAAGGAAGTCGAAGACACTCATACAAGCAAGATAAATGTGTTAAAAATGGTATCGCTAGAGGTGATGCCCCCTTAGGGTAATTGGTGTATTAGGTGTTGAAGGTCTATTTCCATTGTTCACTCTATGGCACAGGGGAAAACCAAGTTGGATGCCTACAGGGAACATGTCTCCTTTCTGCCTTGGGGGTTGTGCTGCCATTCAGAGGGACATAGAGAGGTTGGAGAGTTGGGTAGAGAGGAACCTCATGAGGTTCAACAAGAGCAAGTGAAGGGCCCTGCCCCTGGGCAGGAATAACCACAGGCACCAGCGCAGATGAGGGGTTGACCTGCTGGAGAGCAGCTCCACAGAGAGGGACCTGGGGTCCTGGGRACACCAAGGTGCCCATGGGGCAGCAGGGCCCCGGTGGCCGAGGAAGCCAATGGGCTCCTGGCTGCATCGGGAGGCCGTTGGCAGCAGGGCAGGAAGGGGATCCTGCCCCTCTGCTCAGCTCTGGGGAGGCCAAAGCTGGAGCCTGGGCTCTGGGCTCCTCAGGACAAGGGGCACGTGGAGCTGCTGGAGAGGGGCCAGYGCAGAGYGACAGGGMTGAGGAAGGGCCTGGAGCAGCTCTCGTGTGAGGAGAGCCCGAGCGAGCGGGGCCTGTTGAGGCTGGAGAAGAGGAGGCCGAGAGGGGACC